GCCGTGGGCGCCCCCGCAGAGCCCCCGCAGGCCCGAGCTGCCAGATCTTGCTCCTGAGCCCCGCTACGCACACATCCCGGTCAGGATCAAGGAGCAAGTAGTGAGGTGAGTGCCGACCGCGGCGGCGTAGCGCGGCGCTCGCTGGGGGTGGTCTGGGGGCTTTTGTTTCCTCCACTGCTGGGCTCAGATGCCTGCGTTCTCCTAACGGGTTGTGTGGAGTGAAGTGGGAGGTGGAAGTGGGAGGCTGCTGAGGCTTGGGCTGGGGAAAATCTGTTCTCCCTGAACCTTGCCATGGGGATGAGGATGGGGATGGGCGTGGGAGGTTGTGCAGTTAAGGGAGGGCCCTGAAAGACTCCCTGAGGTCCTGATTCAGGTATGAGAAGAGACTCTAGGTGGGCTGCTGGTTGGTGGGTAGGCAGCTCCTGAAATCCTAGTAATTGGCCCTGTCCTACAACTCTAAAATCCAGATTTAGGGGCTAGGTCGTCCGATCCTTGGTCCCCCTCCCGAGTACTATTTGAAGGGCAACGTCTAAGGGGATGGATCCTAGATGGACAGAATTTCAGGGCCAAGGTGTGGGGTGCTGTGTCAGTGTTTATGGGATGAATGGAGCTGTGTAGCTGAGTCTGATGACCCTTACTACTCCCTTCAGGCTGCTGGCTTGGAACAACTGCAGTTGTGAGTCCAGTGGGGGGGGCCTCCCCCTCCCCTTCCAGAAACAAGTCCGAGCCATTGACCTCACCAAGGCCTTTGACCCTGCAGAGCTGAGCGCTGCCTCTGCCACAAGAGAGCAGGAGTTCCAGGCCTTTCTGTCAAGGTACCAGCTTGAAAGAAGGGCATGACTCCACAGGGGGAGAGCAGTGATTGTGCCGGGAGGGAGAGACCCTCTCCCCCTGACTCTGCTCTGTCCTCTCCTTCCTCCACTGCCAGGAGCCAGTCCCCAGCTGACCAACTGCTCATAGCCCCTGCCAACTCCCCGCTCCAGTACCCCCTACAAGGTGTGGAAGTTCAGCCCCTCAGGAGCATCTTGGTGCCAGGTAGGGAGGAGGGTCCCAGAGGATGACCTCGGCCACAGTGGGGGTGGCAGAGCCCGAGGCGGGGTGGGGAAGAATGGGAGATGATTGGAATGGGAGGTGGGAACCTCTGATGAAAGAGGGACTTAAGCTCAAAAGGGGGCTTAGGAGGTGGGAGGTGAGGACGGAAGGGACTCTAGGAATTTCAGAAGACTGTAACTGGGGAGTTTTGGGGGAAAGAATCTATTCTTTTCTGACTAACCATTGGTTAGGTGGTGGGCAGGGCAGGCCATAGGGCAAGCTTTGATGGGAAGGGCTCAAAAATCAGTCACTGTAGGCTATGTTACAGTGTGCCCTGCTGAGGCCTCAATAAGAAGAATGGGTGGAAAGTTCTCTATTGTGTGGGGTGACAACAGGGAGAGAAAATGAGAAAGAATTCAGGGCTGCCTATGTGATTCTGATCCCCGCTTCCTTTCTCCTAGGGCTGAGCCTTCAGGCAGCTTCTGGTCAGGAGGTATACCAGGTGAGAGAAAACAGGAAGGCAAGGAGGCCAAGTAGGCATCAAGAATGCTGAGAAGGAGGCAGGGCTACTAAGGGAAGGATGGACGAATCAGGGAGGCAAGAAGTGGGTCTGAGGCCTAACCCTGCACTCTCCAATCCCCTCCTAGGTAAACCTGACTGCCTCCCTAGGCACCTGGGACGTGGCAGGGGAAGTGACTGGAGTGACTCTCATTGGAGAGGGGCAGGCAGATCTCACCCTTGTCAGCCCAGGGCTGGACCAACTCAACAGGCAACTACAACTGGTCACTTACAGCAGCCGAAGCTACCAGACCAACACAGCAGACACAGGTGCGAGGCCTGGGTGGGGAGAGGGGCAGGCTGGGCAAACAGAAGAACCAGAAAGGCTGGAGTGGGCAAATGGCAGAGGGCATGGGAGGCATCTGGTCTATGGCCAGAGCTGTCCTGCCACACAATGAGTGCTTCAACTGGACCAGCAGGGCCAGAGAGGGAGAAAAGGGGCCTTTGTTCATCTGGGGCTGGAGCAGGCCAGAGGGAAACCCGAGCTTTGGGTGTGTCTCCCCTTTAGGCCAGCCATGGGGGCCCCAGGAAGAGACGTGTCTAAGGAGTTAGAAGACTATATTTCCAACCCACCCCTTACTGGAGGACAAAGCCCTTTGCTTTCCTGAGTTCCCATTTCTCTTCCAGCAAAAGGGGCCTAAGAGCCCTTCTGCTTCTCCCCAAAGCTGGTTTGTTGCACTAAGTTTGCTTCGACCTTAGGGCCTTTGCACTTGCGGTTTTCTCAGCCCGGAATGCTCTTCCCCAGATTTTTGCAGACTGGCTCCTTCTTGTCATTTAGATCTCAGCTCAAATGTCTCCTCTTCACTATTACATTACTTATTTGTCTTATTTTCCATTCAATACTTACCAGTATCTGAATTTTTTAATTTACTTAGTCTGGCACCAGACTGACTAGGTTGCTATCAGTTTTGTTGCTTAATAGTTGTGTAAATGTGGCAAGTTACTTTTCTGTGTCTCAGCTTCTTTTTCTGTTGTAGGAATCTACTTAATAGGGCTATCATGAGGATAAAATGAGTTCATATATTTAAGGTAATTTTTTAACAGGTCTGGCACATAGTAAGTGCTCAATAAAGGTTAGCTTTTACTTAAAATTTTCTTTATTGTTTTTCTCCTACCCATTAGAATGTAAGTTCCATGAAGGTATGAACCTTGTGTTTTTTTCCACCAAGGCCTAGAAAGGTGGGACACAGAGTAGGCACTTAAATATTGATTGGCTGAAAACAGAATGTTGCCCCACCCTTCAGGGTCAAACGCCATGTCCTTTCTTCCCAGTCCGGTTCTCCACCGAGGGACATGAGGCTGCTTTCACCATCCGCATAAGACACCCACCCAACCCTCGGCTGTACCCACCTGGGTCTCTACCCCAGGGAGGTGAGGCTGGTAGGGGCAGGGACATACTAGATCCAGCATTGGTGGGGAGCGAGTAGAGAGAGGGCAGTCCTGGGAGGGGATATCTACCTGTTCCCCTCTCCCAACTCGCCTTGTCTGCACCCAACCCTGTGCCCTCAATCTCAGCCCAGTACAACATCAGCGCTCTAGTCACGATTGCCACCAAGACCTTCCTCCGTTATGATCGGCTACGGGCTCTCATCACCAGTATCCGCCGCTTCTACCCAACGGTTACCGTGATCATCGCCGACGACAGTGACAAGCCAGAGCGCGTTAGTGGCCCCTACGTGGAACACTATCTCATGCCCTTCGGCAAGGTGTGCAGCTAGCAGGCTGAACGGCAGGCCAGAGGACTCCCGCAGTGGGTGCGCCCTCAATCTGCAGCCTCCAGGGTAGTGATTCGAGGACCACCTGTCTCAGAATCATGGGGTGCCTGTTAAGCATGAGGCTTCCTGGAATGTAAGCTTCGTGGGAGCAGGAAATTCTCTCTGCATTCTTAGAATGGTGCTTAGTGCATAATGGCATTCAATAAAATAGCTGATGAATGAATAAATAAATGCACACGGAAATTAAACGCATTCCGAGACCACTGACTTGGAACCTCTGTGGGGGATCTGCATTTTTTTTTTACCTAGCTTCTGGCCATTCGAAAGCACTCAAAAGTCTGGAGAAGAATACAAGCTGAGAAGGGTCAGGGGAGAGAAAGAAAGGTGGCAGAGGGCCATGTCCTATTTCTGCAGCCTCCCCAACCACACACACCTTTCCGCCAGGGCTGGTTCGCAGGCCGGAACTTGGCCGTGTCCCAAGTAACCACCAAGTACGTGCTGTGGGTAGACGACGACTTCGTCTTCACCGCGCGGACGCGGCTGGAGAGGCTTGTGGACGTGCTGGAGCGGACGCCCCTGGACCTGGTAGGGCAGGGGCCGTAGGATGTGGGGGTGGAGAAGGGCCTTGAACAGGCTAAGGCCACAGTGGGGACGCTGCGGCCAGGAACGGCGAGCCCTGGGACAGAGAGAGGACCACGAAGTGGGGCCTGGGGACTGTCTGGGTCTTGCAAGGGTGAAGCGGAAGAGGATGGGGCAGGGGTACCCCCGAAGGCACCGGAGCGCAGACCTTGCCCCCTTCGGGTGCCCGATCCCCGGCTGCCTGGAGCCAGCCTCCCTCTCCCTGCAGGTGGGGGGCGCGGTGCGCGAGATCTCCGGCTTCGCCACCACTTACCGGCAGCTGCTGAGCGTGGAGCCCGGCGCCCCAGGCCTCGGGAACTGCCTTCGGCAAAGGCGCGGCTTCCACCACGAGCTCGTCGGCTTCCCAGGCTGCGTGGTCACCGACGGCGTGGTTAACTTCTTCCTGGCGCGGACTGACAAGGTGCGCGAGGTCGGCTTCGACCCCCGCCTCAGCCGCGTGGCTCATCTGGGTGAGTCGCGCCCCCTCCCGGTCGACCCTGGCAGGAACCCCACAGGGAGCTGGCGCACCCGCCTCTCCTAGGCTGCACCCGCGCCCAGCCGCCACCGGGAACCCTAGAACAGTTCTGCAATGATTTACCAAGACCTGCACCTGGACGACAGACAGAGCTCCCACCCTCTCCCAGCCCCGCATACCCTTTAAATCTCTATTCCCAGCACAACCGCTGGGCCCCTCCTCCCCGCCCGCGTAAGCTTCCCCGTCACTGTTCCCGCCACCCCTACTCTACTCCCAGCGCTTCCCCTAGTTCAGACCATAGTCGGTGCAACCCATCTGGCGTTTATTTAACCTCTGGGAGTGGGGGTAGGTTTTTCCATTTTCAAAGCACAAGTATATTGACTCCATTTACACAAGAGTAAAACTGAGACCCAGGGAGTTGATTTACTTGCTCAAGGTCCTTAGAAACAAGCCTTTGCACACAAACTTTCCACACCCTAAATTTGAGAGTTCTCCCTTACCGGTCGGCGTTCTGCACCCTTGGGATCCCTCACTGTGTACTCCCCTCCACCCCCAGAATTCTTCTTGGATGGGCTTGGTTCCCTTCGGGTTGGCTCCTGCTCCGACGTCGTGGTGGATCATGCATCCAAATTGAAGCTGCCTTGGACATCAAGGGATGCCGGGGCAGAGACTTACGCCCGGTACCGTTATCCAGGATCACTGGATGAGAGCCAGATGGCCAAACACCGGCTGCTCTTCTTCAAACACCGGCTGCAGTGCATGACCTCCCAGTGATGGCCCACAGGGGATTTCTGACTCTCAGGCTGGGCCTGCCTCCTTGTCCCTGCCAGGAATTTCCAACAAACCCCACCCACCCTGTGAGCACTCTACTGGCAGTCCCTGAGCCTCTAGTTCCTCACTCTTCCTTTTCAGAACCTTATGCCCAATAGGGGTTGTCCTGGTGACACCCCTCCTTTTTCGAGTGCCCAGAGGCCTAGTGGAGCCATAACCTCTCCCACAGCCAGTGCCAAGTCCTCCCCCTCCCCATTCTCATGGGGCAGGAAATGGGGGGATCACTTTCCAAGTGCCAAAGAGCCCAGGGGGACTCTAAGAACCTAAGGTGGAAACACTGTCCTCTCATCTTCTTGGGACTGAGGGGGTGGGGAAGTTCCCCAACACATAATCCCAAGACTGTACCCCTCACCCGCATCTTCAGATCCAGTACTCTGTGTACCTGCTCCAGCCCCACCCCTACAGAGATAACTTGCGGCACTGGGGCTGGGGGTGAGGGCCGGTGAACACATGGTGAAAGCCATTCTTAGTTGTGTCTCTGCAATGCTGTGGGCACAAAAGACGGAGCACCAGAGTCCCTGTGCAAACACCTAGACTCGCTTCATGGATTCCAAAGCTCTCAGCTTCATTTTATTAGTTACGTTAGGTAAGGGAGCTCAAGGTCATGGTCCTCATCACACACATGTCATCGGGGCCCTCTGCACTCCACATGATGAGGTCAGACCCACACTGTGCAAATCTTTGGGTCAGTGAGCTCCTGGAGACGAGAGGAGACATGTCAGGAATAGATTAGGCACCCTCTCCCTTGATGAAATGTGGCAGTCCTCTCAGGGGTACCCCACCTGCTTAGGGATCTGAGTTCTTCAGTTCCTCACCCATAGCTCAGCCTGGGCTCCCTGAGTTGGTCTTCAATCCACTATTCATTCCATCCCCACCCTTTTCTTCTTGATCTTCCTCCGCAGACCCTTTCCCAAACCCCTCTCCCTGAGTCTCCAGCCACTTACCCCTGCCTCACTTGCCGCAGCCCAGTGCCTCCCGGCTCTCGCTCCTGGTGCTACTGCCCCTTACCAGGCTCCCCAGGGCATAAGCAGCTGCATCCTGCACACTCACAAACAGCTGATCTGGGGTCACCCTGTCCAGGAGTCCTGCCCGAGTCAGTGTCCCCAGCACCGAGGCTATGTGGGGAGGGTGTCAGGCTCTGAGACCCTCAGTCCACACCGGGTCCTTTTCCCTCCCGCAGGTGTCCAGTCATTGCCCAGACACTGGGTCCCGCTCTTCACACATCTCACCATTACACTGAGCCAGGAGGAGGTGGATCCTAGCATCTCGACATCGGCTGGCCAGCTGCAGGGATGGGGCAAAGGGGTTAAGATCAGAGGGTATGAGTGACATGCTAAGGGGTTTCTCCTCAACCTGCCCTCTCCCTCACCTGCACCACTTCTCTGGCCCCAGCAGCATCTGCAAAGGTGACACCACTGAAGTCTAGGACCACCACCCTGACAGGCTCAGCAACTAGAATGGGAGAAGACAGGAGTACCCAAGTGCCACCATGCAACATGCCCAAATCTTCCTTCTTGTCACCCCATCTTACCTGCAACAGTTGGGCCATCTGGCTTTGAAGTCTCCTATGAGTAAAGAAGGGCAGTCACCACAACCGAGACACAGCATGAATATGCACCCCTTGAGCACAAGGATCCCCCTCAGAACGCCCACCTGCCTCCCACTCCCCGAGGATCCACATCCCTCCTAAACCAAGCTCCCTCACCTTTTCTCCTTCTCCAAGCCCCAGGTGCCACTCCAGGTTGCGGCGAAACTGCCCACGGGTCCCAAAGTACAGTGGTGTTGGATAGCTCAGGATGCAGAGCCCTGGGACCTGGAGGAGCTAAGAGGTCAGAGGGTCAGAGAAACATCTGGGGCTAATCTTCCTTTCCTTCTTTGGCTGCAGTCCACCCACCTTGTGGCTTCCTCTGAGTGGCCTGTAGAGCTCTGTTCCCTCAGCCTGTCCAAGTGCCAGGCACTGCACCCTAGGGAAGAAGGTGGGGCCAGATTTCCAGCTTAGCCTGGCCTGGCTGGAGAGTCACCCCAAGCACCTCATTCTCTCCCCTGCCCTGACCTCAACTCCACTCATCTCTATGCCCACCTCTGGGTGCGGCAGACCACAGTCATCATGGAGAAGACAACACCCACAGCCAGGCCCAAATCCACATTCAGGGTCACTACGGCCACCCAGGTGACCATCCACACAGCCTGCAGGACAGGGATAAGGGTGGATTGCCCAAAAGAAAAGGCAGGCCATCACTGCTGGGGAAAGAGATCCAGGGCAGTGATTACCAAGGCAAGTGATGGGGAGAGATGACCCAGGAAGAAGCGGAAAGCATGACAGAGGGAAAGAACAGGTTGATTCAATGGGACACACACCAAATGTAATGACCTGCACCAGTTGGGAAGTTACAAATATTCAGGTCCAAGGGGTTCAAACCCCATCCTTTCCCTTGCCTGTGAGTAAAGCGTATTAGGAGTTACATTTGTTGGGGGAGTGGGTGGGTTGCAGAACTTAGGACCAGGACAGTTAGCTTTGGTTCAGGGCAGAGGCTGGGGATGCTAAGAAGATGGGAGGGGGCCATCTGGGGGTAATGGCATTTCTCACAAAGTCCACACGACTGATGTGCCATAGTTGTGGAAGTTCCTGCATCTGGAAGAACATCTGCCGCATGCTGGAGATGTTGATGCAAGCCAGGACAGCCTTGAGGCAGAGGAGGTGGGCTGACTACCTCGATGTCCTGGAATACAGCCACCCCTCCCAGCCATGCTCATGCCTCCTCTGCTCCTTACCTTGGGCAGATAGTAAAAGAAGGGCCCCAGCCACAGCAGCACCGACAGGACCACTATGCAGGAGAAGAGGCCTGCCAGCTAGAGGGAAGGAGGGATGGGTGCAAAAAAAGGAAGGGAGTCTCCCACCCCCACATGAGAGCTGGTCTCCCTGCCCACTCTGCCTTATCTTCCTCGGAAGTCTCCCTTCTCCCAAATCTCCTTCCACACATCCCCCTTCTTAATATTCTGCCGTTCACATCTAACCCTCCCCTCCCCCCAATTAATTAAATGCCCATTATTCACCAGTCTCCCTGTAGATGTCTGTTGTTCAAGTTCCCCAGTTTTGCAGCCCACCTCCACCTTAAAAGCCACTGTTGGGTTACCCTATAGGCAGGCTCACCACGTGCTTAGGGCACCAGCAAAGTAAGGGAAACCAAAAATATTAGGGGGAGACTTTGATATGTGATATTCCTTTTAAAAAGACAATGTCATTGTGTGAAAAAAATAATTTTATCTCAAGTTTATTTTATAGTTTTGTGTTTTTATTTTGAACCATATCTGGGGCACCATAAACTTTTTCAATGCTTAGAGCCTACAAAGGTCTTACTGGAACATTGTTATCTTCCATCTCTCCTATAATTCCATCCCCTTGCTCACCCTTTCTCACAGATCCCCAGTCTTCTCTATATAGGTGCCACCTGGGTATCTAACCATCGTCCACCTGTTTCTCCAGCACCACCACTTTGCCTGGATGGCCCATCCTTTCTCCTCATCCAAGGATGCCCTCTTACCTGTGTTTTCCCACCAGCATCCACCAGTAGACTGGTGGTGGCCAGCGTAGCCGAGTTGGGAAAGCAAGAGAAGAGGGAGGAGATGAGGTTGGAGGCACCATGTGCCAGGAGCTCCTGGAGGGATGCAGTGAGATGAAGTGGGAGAGACAAAGGCATGGTGGGAAGTCAAATGAGAGGGTTGGGGTCCACAGTCAGAGTCCCACCTGGTTGGAGTCAATAGTGTAGCTATACTTGTCTGCATAGATGGAGGCCAGGGAGGCAGACACCGCAAAAGTAACCAGTGCGATGGGCAGCGAGTCAGCCAGAATCCTGGGCAGCTCAGCCAGGTTGGGGAGGAGGGGTTGGGGAAATCTGGAGAGGGAGGGATCCATGGTGAGGAGGAGTTGGGTGCTTCAGTGAGATAAGGAACGCAAAGAAAATGGGGGGTGGAGATAAGAAGAAGCGTTAGGTGGGAGAGGTGGGAGAAGAGAAAGCCGGCGTCTTTTCATTCTGTCTTACCCTCCAGGCAACAGCCCCACTATCTGGACATGGTATCTTGTGTCTAGAGAAGAGGTGAAGCAGAGCACGGAGGCCAGAAGCACCTGAGAAAGAGAGCAAAATGAAGGCATGGGAAGAGATGGGGTTCCTGGCAGAAGCTAGAAGGGGCTGACCATGAGAGAGGACCATAATGCAGGTCTAGCTGGTTGCAGGAGCCCAGCACCTGGGGGAGCAGGGATGTGTTTGGGATGGGGGCCTGACAACTGATTTGGAGTGTGGAGCTGGGAAAGAGGGATGACATATGCCTGAGGCCACAGAGCGCTGGAACCACCAAAGATGGTGGATATGAAGAGATGCCACTGAGCCTTCCAAAGAGGGAAGCTGGACGATATCTAGTGATATACTGACATCTGTGGAGACGCGGAACGTTTATTTAGTGGGGTAGAGAGAGAAATGTCAGTGGAGGGTGGAGAGGAAGATGCACTGTGAATTACAGGGAAGGACCCTGGTGAGGACAGGTGTCAGAGAAGGTGCTGTGACCAGCAAGACCTCAAGGGAGCGCTGTAGGATGGTAGAAGGAACTCCAAGAGGTGTAGGGGGTGCTCCGTGAGAGACGTGGGACAGTGTCGAGGGGGACTGTGGAAGGTCAAAGCATCCTCCTGCAGGAGGCCAGGGAAAGTGAGTGTGAGCTGGCCCTGTTCCGTGGCCTCTCTGCACTCCACCAGGGGGCGGCAGCGGCCACTTCCCACAGGACAGCAGGGTCTGTGCGGGCAGGGGACCGGCGCGCACGGCCGTCCTCACCATGACGACTTCCCCCGGGATCGGCGTAGGTAACCGGTCTCGGAATCTCACGTTCAATTCCTTGACCGGCACGAGCAGCGCCAGGCTGAGCGCCGAGATGGTCAATTCGGCCGGACTGCTCCGGGGCAGCGCAGTCAGCACGGCGGCCAGCGTCTGCGGGCAGGGGCTGTGAGCAGAGGGCCCCTTGCCAGGGTTCATGCGCCCCGGCGCGGGCCCCCCAGAGCGAGGCCCTCTCTCTCCAGTGCCACCAGGGCTTCTACCTCCGCAGCGCCCTCGGTCAGCCACGTGGCTCCAATTTCCTTTCCTGCGCCCTTGTCACACACTACCCCTCCACCCTCCGTCCTTCCTCCCTTTTCGAATTTCCCTATTCCCGGGACCTCTAGAAGCCCCTTCTCCTTTCTTCTCCCACCCCCACCTTGAAGAGAGAGAAGCAGCCGATCTGGCGCGGGAGGGACAACCCCAAGAGGCTCGGCAGCTGGGACACAAGCACGTGCAGCGCGACCCCGCTGGTCAGAGCCTTGACAACAGGCTCGGACAAAAAGGTGGACAGGACGCCAAGTTGCAGCACGAACATCCCCAGCTGCGGGGGAGAAGACGTGCAGTCACCAACTTGAGGAGGAGCAAACCAACCCCGCGCACCTCCGCCCTCCCGAACCCAAGCTGAAGGCTGGTCCCTCCCTCTCCCCCTGCCCAATTTCCCGGGCCCCCCAGCAGGGATCCCCCGGGATCCTCCCCGGGTCCTCCCTCACCATCAGCGCCCCGCTCCCGAAGGCCACGGCTGCGGCTACCCCAACCCGCTGAGCGTCCAACTGCTCCTTCTCGGTTCCGCTCAGGTTCCCCACAAGGGGTTCTGGCACCAGCCGCTCAACGGCCGAGCCTGTCATGAGGCTGAGTATGGCGAAAGTTCCTGCAGCCGGGGGACAAATACAGACATCATCAGCTGTGCAGTCCTGGGCAGGGCAACAGCTCAGGCTCCACGCCCTGGGGCCGAGATGCTGCTGCCAGACTCCGCTCTCCAAGAAGGCTGCTGCCCGGTCAAGACTGGCGCGAAGAGCTGCACCAGCCGGCAAAAACTACTCCCTCCTGCAGATTCTCTGCCTACTGCGCGCCCCTTTTGGGGACCATGCACCTATTCTTCCCCTTTCAAATCCCTGAGATGTTCATTTTAACCAAATTTCATAGGGGAAAAAAGTTCAGGTAAACTCCCACCTCTTTGCACCCACTCTAGCAAGCTTTGCCTAGGTCAGTTTCCTAGCAGGACTGGGCAAGGAGGGAGGTGAAGATGGGAGAGGTGAACAGGGAAATGAGGAAGAAGGGAAGTAACAGCCCCTGTCCATTTTCATCCCACAGGGAAGAAGAGTCATTGGAAGTTCCTGGTCACTCACCTGTGGACAGGTGTCTCCCAGTACCCAGCAAGCTGTAGATGAGGACAGGGAAGAAAGAAGTGTAGAGTCCAAACACCGGGGGCACGGAGGCCAGGAGAGCAAAGGCCATGCCTGGGATAGAAGTGGATGGAAAGGTGTGCTGTGGGGAGGGGGCCTTGTCCAACCTCCAGGACTTAAACGCCCTTCCCAGACTCTTAGGGGCTGGCATCAAGGATGCTAAATCATGCCTCATGAGGGAACTGAGGGGCTAATGGGCCTCAGTGGGCGATCATGGGGCAGACGAGGTCAGGAACGCTGTGGCCAAGTCCTGGGGGCCAGACGTTGTGCCTCTCTCCAGTTCTCTGAGCCAGAACCTGTCCAAGGCTTCTTGCAGGATTGTGCAGATGAGGGGAGGTGGGGGTGGGGATCTGATGGAGCTCCACAGTCCTTACCCCAAACTTGGCCTCATATCCCTCTCTCCTACCCGCAGCGGCAGGAACCCACCATCTGCTCCTGGATTCCCAGCTCCCTAAGCCTCCTCCCGGAAGCCCTCTAGAGCTTGTGCTCCAGACAGACTGCGGTTAAGGCCTCTCACCCTGGGGCACGTGCACAATGCCCACGGTCACTCCGGCCACCGCATCTCCGAGCAGCCAGGCCCGCCAGCGGTAATGGGGCAGCCAGTGCAGCGGGGGCAGCCGAGCCTGTAGCAGGCGCCACGCCCCCGTCCCGGAACAAGCGCGAGCCCGCAGCCTCCACAGTCCGAAGAGCCGGGGAAAGCGGCGCTCTGCAGGTAGCTCCGGTTCCTGCTCTTCGCCCCCGAAGAGCTGATGGAACCGAGCCTCGGTGAGAGCTTCCCTGAGCCTGGTTCCCAAGGGGTACTTAAGGTCAGAGGTGTCCCCCGCGCCTGGGTAGGTCCTGGTGCCCTGAATCCCGCTCATTTTGCCCTTGGCCACCTCCAACTCCGCCCCGTCTTAAATACTCCTCCGCCAGCTAAGCCCTGAGTCCCGCCTCCCACGAAGCAGGGTCCAATCCGGCCCTGAGGACACTCTCTCTCGAGGACCTTCTCCAGTCTGGCGAGAGCCGCGGCTTGGAGAGGGAGAGTCTCTATGTTAGGGGTTTCTGCAGACAACCTTGGCCAGATCCGATCGCTGGCTCTGGGGTGGCTGTGGAAATGTGTAGAGATTAGAGAGAGAGAAGCCGAAAGGCAAGCGCACCCCGACACTCAACACCCGCTATTTACCCCTCCTTAGACTTTTCACTTCACTCCCGGTTCCTTTCCCCATCTGCACCTTGGGAGGAGAGAGAGGCTGGTTCCTCTTGGGTCCTTCCCTGAGCCACTACATTCTCCCAGCCAGAGCAAAAAGTTCAGCACCCATCCCGAACTTCACCCAGACCCACATCTTCATGGGGCACAGCTGGCTCCAAGAAGCAGTTTCATGTCCTACTGACATGGAATGCAGCCACATGTATTGATTGGACAGGGATAATGACAGAACCTGGACCCACACCTCTGTGAGGAGCGGCTGGGCCTAGTTCAGGGCCTGAGGGGAAATATTGAACCCACAGGAAATTTTTTTCTTAGGAACCAAAAAAACGGAAGCACCATTTATCACATTCAAATGCTTTTCACAGGCCAGGGGCAATGGCTTATGTCTGTAATCTCAGCACTTTGTGAGGCCGAAGCAGGTGGATCACCTGAGGTCAGGAGTGTGAGACCAGCCTGACCAACACGGTGAAACCCTGTCTCTACCAAAAGGTACAAAAATTAGCTGGGCATAATGGCAGGTGCCTGTAATCCCAAGCTACTCGGGAGGCTGAGGCAGGATAATCGCTTGAACCCAGGAGGTGGAGGTTGCAGTGAGCTGAGATGGAGCCACTGCATTCAAACCTGGGTGACAGAGCGAGACTGCATCTCAAAAAAAAAAAAAGCAAATGCTGTTCACAAAGTAGGCGTTCAAAAGCACATACGTGGTTAAACTAAGTGCAAAGGAATCAGTCACCCACCTCATGTGTACCTATGGTTCCTAAACAAATACAAAGATTCTAACTCCAGAATCCTGCTGTTGGCCACGATCCCCTCCTCCATTCGCAAGAATCTTCGGCACCCCTCCCCATGATCCTCTGGTCCCCCAGTCCATGACCCCAAAGCCCTGGGGGTGGGGTGCAGTGAGGGTGGGTCTCCCCTCTTCAATTCCTCCTATTGTTCCACAGAAGTCTTATCTAGGTGCTACGTCCTGTCCCCCCCTTAGGAATCCCTCCCCCTATTGTCGGCCAAAGGGACCTCGGGCCCACAGGGAGGCTCCAGCTCTCCTCCTCACCCTCCCACCCCAGCAATCTATTGTCTGTTGAGGAAACCCAAGTGCACGTGACTGAGCCCAAGGGACCAACGGATACAGTGGACTCGGAGATGCATAAGGACCCAGGACGGCATCTGGACATGGCTGCGTGAATGTTTGGCTCGCTCTGGTCCAGCAGCTCTCCCAGAAGTTGGGAGGGGCGAAGATCCCCTTGGGCTGTCCCTTCTTGGGTCCATGGCTTGAAGAAGAATCCCCTTCTGCCCACTATGAACATGGCTTATGACCTCACAGAGAGCAAAGATAAGGAGACCCAGTGCCAGGAAAAGGCTGCAGCCCCCAGGATCCTCTCCACCTTCCCATCTTCCCTCAGCTGAACATGGCAGCCTCAGAAGCAAAGGTACATTGGCATTTTGTGCTTTAGTATCTGGGTGTTGGGGGAACGGTGAGAAGTCACACTGCATTGGGCTTTCTGGTGGGGTCTAGACGAGAGGGTGGGTAGGGAAAAAGAAGGGTTGGGTAAAGATGACACATCAAGAATCTAGGGCTGGCCAGGTGCAATGGCTCATGGCTGTAATCCCAGCACTTTGGGAGGGCAAGACAGGTGGACCACTTGAGCCCAGGAGTTCAAGACCAGCCACATAATGAGACCCTAACTCTACAAAAAAAAAAAAAAGAAGAAGAATCTAGGGCTTTCCAGTGGTTCCATGCCTCAGTCTTTGTCCCTCAACTGCTGCAACTGCAGTTGAGGGATAAAGATAGCAACATCTTTTATCTTACACCCTGTCCCCTTCGCCTTTCACCAGACCCCCTCCTCCAATGGCTGGGGCCAACTGGTCTCTTCCATATCACTTCACCCCACCTACCCCGACTACAGCCTCCCCTTCCCTCTGCCAAGACAGCAGCCTCAGTGATATAACAAAACCTTTATTCTCATAAAACAGGAAAAACAAAATTAAAAAACGAAACCAATAATTTCTATCTGGCCCTTGCCCCAGCCCTCCCACCCACCCACATATCCTCCTTTTGGGGGAACCATGATGCATGCACAGGGGTGGGAGCTGAAGGAAACTGTGTTCCTTGGGCAGAAAAAAGTCCTTGGGTCTAGGTGCTCTCCTCCAAGTTGATATCCCTCCCAGCCTTGCCCACCCTTCCTCCAGACACACCAAGAAGGAAGAATTCTGGAGCAGTGCCAGAAGGACTGCCCTGAAGCTTCTTGGGGAATAGGCAGCTGAGTCAGCACCACCTCCATGGTTTTCACCAGTTACAGCTCATCTTCATCCAGCTTGGCAAGTCTGGCTTGGCACGGAGGGGTGTTTGGAGTTGAAGAGACTGGAGGAGAGTCATGGGGAGCCTGAGGGATGTCACTGAGGGCCTGAAGAAAAGATTCAAGTCAGAGGATTAAAAAGGCCAGAAATCTACCCTCACTTCTCTCTTTTCAGTTTAAGTCCCTAGCCAAGCCACCTCCTCTTGCCAGATATCTTAGACTGTCTGAGACTATCAGCTTCTCCAGAGTTAAAATAGAGGGGAGAAGGGTAAGGGATGGGAAGTAGGAAGGACCAGATAAAAGGAATGATATGGGGAGCGAGCTTGGAGTCCCAAAACAAGAGAGGCTCTCCCCTTTTTATGCCTACAATGAGGGAGCTCTCTTCATCATACCTGTTTATCCAGGGGCAAGGGGGCTCTGGCCACCTCCCCTTTGGGTGACAGCAGCAGGGAGGGGAGAGAGCCATTGATGGGTGTTTGAGTGCTGCCCTGGGCCTGATCTCCAAGCCGAATTCTCCCAGGGCTCCCCACTCCAGGCCCTCCTGGCCGCCCCAGGCTGTTGGTCTGGCTCTCCCGTCTCTGGTACTCAATGGGTGACTGCAATGCTGGAGCAAAGAGAGGAACAGGAGGGTTACTGCAGAGACAGGTCTCTTCCCTAGGGCCTGTATCATTCTCCTACTTTGCCCTCCCTCCCTGTCAGCCAATGTAAATTGCTTGGGGTTTTAGGGGATTCTATCAAATTTTGAGCTAGCAGTAGAAAAGGGGATGGGCCATGGTCAGAGGGTAGGTACTGGAGACTGGGCAGTGAGGGAGGGATTCAGGAGGTCAAGGGGCTGACAGAGCCCATCAGGGAGAAAGGATGAAAGCTTCACCGTTGAGGAAGTCCCGTTGGCTTTCCAAGATCTGAGCCACATGCTTGATCCAGGCCTGACTGATAGCAGGGTCTGCAGCCTGCAGGACATAGCGCTGGATCCCACCCTCTGGCCCTCTGGAGGTCAGTGCAAAGCGGCAAGGGTCACCTTGGAGGTTCCCCTCCAGTCCCAGGCAGCTCACCTGAATTGGCAGATAGGAGACAGCCCCCAGATTCCTCAGACCCTCTCTGGCTCCCCTGAGACATCCTCTCAGAGGCCTCATGCCTTCTCTGTCCAAGCCCTCTCTCATGGCCCCCTTCTCACCTTAATGCTGCTCTTGTATACATATCCAGGCTGTGTTCCACCTCTCACTCCTCCTCCCAGGGCTTCACTGAAGATGATGATTTGCTCAAAGAGGAACACGCGCCTCTCTCGACCTCGAGAAGACAGCAGCCCCCCAGCCTCAGGCTCGATGACCCAGAAAGTGTCCTGGCCCAAGAGCTTCCCCTGAGCAGTCAGTTTGCCCTGAAA